AAGGGTTAAATAAATATCGTCAAATAATCGAGATCTCAATTTCAGTGAAAATAATCGTGATTATCATTTTTGCCAGAATCGAGCAGCCCTAAGTATGTAAAACATTTATATTCTACACTTTAATAAATAATATATATGTATTTATAGTTATAAAGTGAGCTTTGTTTTAATGACACTGGCAAAAGCGCTCGTCCAGCATTCTGAATGTTTCACAGTGAGCGAGGAGGCCGTCACACTGGACCTGCTGCAGCTCCTCAGCTCATCCTGAAACATGATGTTTTAGCTCCTTTATCCTTTAATCCAACTTCACTGTGATTGGCCGCCTTTTGAAAAAAGCAGGTCTGAAGCGCAGGTGGGGCTGCTGTGCACTTTAGACGACCATATCAGGGATATCTGCTCGCTCTGATATCATGCTGTTCTGATCTGTTCATGCGGAGTTCATTCAAACCAGCAGAGAATCACACACTGCTGCTGCATGCTGGGCGATACCTGTGTGTTCATTGTTGGTGCTGCACTCAAACTCCATAAAGGTATCCGTCTCCTCCTTCTGTCCCAGCTGCTCTCCCTCCTGACTGCTGCACAGTTCCTCCTGTTCCTCTTTAATCTGTGGAGCTTCTGGTTCCTCCTGCTCCACACTGGAGCTCCTCTCCTGGTTCCAGAGCTGCTGCTCAGGGAGAACCTCCTCCTCCGCACAGATACGCTGCTGACAGAAGTACTTATTTCTATTCTAAGTAAGTACCACGTGGAACCTTCAGAGGCTCACACACCCTCCGTGCCTTTAAATAAATGTGTGTATTGAGCAGCTGCTCAGTCTGATTGTGTGTACTGATTAATTTTATTTTTGCTATATTTAAAAATTTAAAATTAAAAAAAAAAAAAGCCCAACTGAGGACTGGGTTTGCAAAATATCCTTTGGTTCGAAAACTTTTGTTAAAACCGTTGTTTTGTACAATTAGAGAAAAATGTTTATAACTGTCCATTATTAAATTCAGTTCTTTGTATTCTTCAACGGCCAAGAAAGACACGGTCAAAGTGGTCTAACTCAAAAGATGATCTTTAATTTTACATTTTCGGGAAAATGCAGACTTAGCACAGAAACGCCAGCTCAAGTCTGGGGCATCAGCGGCCTGTCTCGCTATATATTTTTGCAGCACGTCAGACCCAGTTTCGATACAAACTCCTTATATGGTACAAGTTCTGGTGCAGCTTTGCACTTCCTCTTTCTAAAGTCTGTTGCCAGGGCAACCTGTCACCCTTAACATAGTTCTCGTGTGGGTCTGGCATACATAAAACAATATAAGCAGACAATAAGTCGGACAATATATTTAAATCCCAACAGACCCCCTCTTGACCTTTCCCCCAAAAAGGTCAAGAGGGGGTTTTGATTGTAGACAATCAAAGGGACGTTATTTATTTTATGGCCTGAACCACCTGACAGTTTTGTGGTGCTGAATAGAAAAATGGGGACGAAATAGTAAACTGAAGAAAATTCTAAAGATGTTAAAAGAGAAACAGCCTGCAGATAAATCACCAAACACATTTTATTATTGCAGCTCATATTATGTTTCCAACACTTTCCAATTAAACACTGTTTTACTTCATCATCATCATCATCATCTCTAGCTTTCTCAATCATTGGTCGTTATTATCATCATTATGATTATTATTACAACAACTACTAATTATTAATCTCTGGCTCTCTTCCACAGCTGTCTTTGTCCTGTTTTCCTCCCCTCACTCCCACATGGCCGCCTCTCCCTGAGCCTG